CTTCCCCGCATCGCACGAAAATCCACAAGCGTATGGCCATACTGAACCCGTAGCGCTCGAAAATAGATGGAAATCATGTTATACGCTAAGCTTAATGTAGTTTGAGTCGTTATACACATAACATTTATTTTTATTATTTCTTCTCTATGTGTTTAGCTTGAAACAATCTCAAACGTACAGAAAAATGACCAACTGTTAAAATTATATAACATTTCATTAAAATTAAATTATATTCTTTCTCCTGGTCGATTTGAGAATAAGTTATTGGCATGATGCCCTATCGCCCCCAAATACCCATTTCCTACAAGCAAGGATGCTCTCCTACATAATCAAAATCAGGACAGTGATACATATGAGAGTGGTCCTCATACCACACTCAGGTCTCACCCACTGTCCGTGCTGTCCCTCGGGCGGAAGAGCCCAGTGCAGGGTCTCACGTTGCATTGGGCTGCCCTGTCTCTTCCGGTCCCCTTGCTTCCCGACAGTTGCTCAGACTTTTCTTTGACTTTGATGACCTTGATATTTTTGAAGGGCATGGACCACTTACTTTGTAGAATGCCACTTCATCAGGAGTTTCTTTTATGTTTCCGCATGACGGAATTCGGATGATGCATCAGGAGTATCACAGAAGAAAGGACCTTCTGCGCCCTGCATCCTGCCTGCTGGCGTACGATCTCTGTTTGCCTCCTCCCTAGGGGTGTTTACTTTGATCACCTAATTAAGGTGACGTCTGCCACGCTGCTCCGCGGCAGAGACACTTGGTGGGGGCGACACTCCGTACTCTGTAAATATCCACTCCTTGTCAAGCTTTCAACATCTTCAGACCTTTATTTGTGACTGTATGAATTCACGGATTCCTGTTTTACTCAGTGGGTTGAAGTCATCAACTATATTTGTGTCTGTATGAATTCATGGATTCCTGTTTTACTCAGTGGGTTGAAGTCATCAACTATATTTGTGTCTGTATGAATTCATGGATTCCTGTTTTACTCAGTGGGTTGAAGTCATCAACTTATCGGATGCTCAGGTTGTCCCAGATTTGGCCAGTGGGGACCACACCCAGAAGGCTTTTTTTTTTTTTTTAAAGATACTATGTATTTATTTGAGAGAGAGAGTGCGCACAAGCAGGGGGAGAGGGAGAAGCAGACTCCCTGATGAGCCGGGAGCCCGATGCGGGGCTTTATCCCAGGACCTGATATCCTGACCAGAAGCCTAACGGACTGAGCCACCCAGGTGACCCCACCCCCACTCCCCAAGCAGGCTTTTTGTTTATCACCTTGACTTTTCTCCATTAGTCTTTGATACTTTGTTACTTTCTGACCCCATCAGTCTTTGATACTTTGTTACTTTCTGACCCAGTAAGCTGTTCCCAGATCATCTTGTCCCTTCTCTGCCCTAGTCCTGGAGTTAGCCACCTCTCCAAGGAGACTTGGCTTTTTCTCAGGATCGGTGGTGGGTTTTTTTTGTTTTTTTTTTTTGGTGGGAGGAGGTAAAAAATGATATTTAGCAACCAAGACCTTACATTAGTAAGCTCACTGCTGTGAGCAGGGATGTGTGTGTGTGTGTATACCCACGTAAGTGTATACACACACATACGTACAAAAACATATTTACATTTACATCTCTGTTGGGTTTTGAGCCCTCATGACCTCCTCCATGGTCTAAATTTTGCTACAAGGGCTCTTCGGACTGAACATATGATTTTACTCATGGTTGAGATATATTGCAGTGACGTAGGAAGGGCATGCAGTGATGTCATGAGGAAAAGAGATGCAGGTGGGGTCTGGAAGAGTCTCTGTGTTCAGGCCTCCTTATGCTCTCTCCCCCAGGGAGGGTTTCCAGAGAGCACTCTGCTTCCCCAGCAGCGAAAGTGCGTATCACATGATGTTTCTGTCCAGAGAAGCCCAGGCCTGAGGCTTTTACTGGGGGCTGGTCCCATGGGCAGCACTCTGCCTGGCATGGATCAGGGAAGCAAGTGGGTTTGCCCAAACAGTCTGGGTGTGGTTCACCACCTTGATCACCTCCAAAATGCAGTTCCCAGATACCAGCCATGGGCCCACCTTGCAGGCGAGCTTCTCTAGAGATAGCAGCTTCAGGCCTGCAAGCCTGGCCCTTCTTGCACACTTGTGACTGAATTCAGGTTCCAGTCCCCCCCTCCCCGCCCAACACTGCGGGGGGTCCCCTCTGGCCTTTTCCTTTCTTGTATTTGCACCCCCCCCCAACACACAGGGGAAACTTGGCTCACACTGTCTTCAGTCTATTGATGTGTTTGGTCAGGCCCCACTCAGGAACCAGTCTCTTGTCCTTTTGTTCTTCTCTTCACCCCCATCCGGGCCCTCGCACCTGACCCGTGCCGGGCTGTCCCCCATGGGCAGACATCCTCTGTGTTCTGAGCAGGACAGGGATGCCGCCATCCTGCCTCCCTCCTCACCTGCCACAGGTCTGGATCCTCTTAATTAAGGAGGGCCCTTGGGACTGACCCCACAGGAGAGGGGGAGCCGGACCGTAGCCCACGGCCCCTCTGGTGTTAGAATGGCCCTCCGTGGTTGTTCCGAGTCGGACTCAAGTAGCCAGGCCCTTTTGCCCCATCACAATGACTCCTGGCATGGGGGCCGCCCCTGGGAGGGGAGGGGGCAAGCTCTTGCAGCCGGGCAGACACTCTAGGGCCAGCAGCTGTGCCGACAGTGGGGATGGGAGGTCCCGGCAGCATCCGCCCGGGGACGGGACACCGCGGGTCCCACTCCGCCTCTCCAGCCTGCACACCTTCCCTGCCCAGTCTCCCCGCCCTCCTACTCCACCACCATGGCTTTTCGGTGGAATTGTTCCAGAAGGGCAGGCAAGGGGAGGGGATTCCATTACTTTTAAACCATACTATAATCCTATTTTCATAAATTTAGAGTGGCATTTCCTAATTGGGAAAGGTCTACTAAAGCCTTGCTTCCACGGAGTCATCCCAAACTAGAAGGGAGGAAAAAGCCGACCCTTCTCTATTTCCCGCAGGGCATTTGTTCTTGTCCTCTTCACGTCCCTCGAATGCGTTTCAGGAAGCTTTGGAATTTGGAGGTCTGGGAACATCTGTCTTTGGGCCCTACTTCCACAGGTTGAATTCGGACCCAATTTTCACATTTCTCCTGCTTTTTTTACTTTATATCATTTTATTTTTTTAAGGAACTTTAAGAATCTTGACATTGAGCTCTTTGGAAGAGAGAGCCCTAGGGCTACCAAAAACTGCAGTGGGAAAAACTGCCAGGGAAGTTGTACCAGGAGCATCTTTTTATTCTGCCTTCCCCAGAACATGAGAGACATGCCGTGTCCACAGAACTGTGCTGGTTTTATTATGAAGCACAACAAAAATCAGCGAGCAAGAACTACCCAAAAATGAATCACAGAGCCCTCCTCGGAGTGGGGGGTGTGTGTTCCTACATCTAGGGTCGATAGAGGTCCTAGAAAAATCAACAGTTGTTCAAGGGTATGCGATTTAAAGCATGATCTTATCCACAAAGAATTGCTTTTTAGTTCTTACTACACAGAAAGCCAAGCTTGGCACTTCAGAGAAATGCAAGAACAGTCAATGCAGAGGGGCTGGGATTTGAAAGACCAGAGAATGAACACGTAGTCCAGTTTTTTCAAGTTAGAAATTAATTTCTTTGCTGTTGTTACTGTAAAAAAATGATTTGTTGGGAGGGGGAATATTTTTCTAGTCTTCAGAAGCATAAAAAGGCTAGTTGAAAGAAACTCAGAATCAGTTTATCCTATTTATTTCTATCACCGCATTATTCTTAGGGAACCAGATCTAGGTTTTGAATGTAGTACTTCATTTGCAAATTACTGAAGTGATGCTCTCCTTATGTTACGCTGTTTGCACGAATCACCTGGTGTCCCTGTTGTTTTGCGGCTGACTTTTGAAAACATGCAACACAAGTGTGCAGAGCGGGTTTGGCAAAGAGCTCGTGCCCATCACCCTTACCGACGTGGACAAGCAGGAGGGCAGCGTTGGCTTACTTGGTAGTTCACGCCTCTGGATTGTGGTTAGTTTTCCACGAGTGTTATCCACCAGAGCTCCCGCTTTTTTTCTGGAAGATAAATTGTTGTTCAAGATTTCAACTTGAGGGTGCCTGGGTGGCTCAGTCAGTTAAGTGTCTGCCTTTGGCTCAGGTCATGATCCTAGAGTCCTGGGATGGAGTCCCGAGTCCGGCTCCGGGCTCAGCAGGGAGCTTGCTTCTCCCTGGGCTCCTCCCACCTTTTGTTCTCTCTCTGTCTCTTTCTCAAATAAAAAATAAAATCTTGAAAAAAAAAATTTCAACTTGAAAATCAGGGTGCACCTCAAGGGCGTAGTTGAACAGCCCCATGGTTTTGATGCATTCTTCATGCCGGTGGACTCTGGGTTCTGTGACATGTCAATTAAATAAATACCGGTTATCTGCTGCTAATGGAGAAGTTTATAAGTGTTTTGTACCAACAATATTTTAAAAATGTGTTGAAAGGTGGTTCGAACCTACATCCAAGTACCCCTCTTTCCAGCCAAGCATTATTTACATGGTTATCACCATAAATATTTGGCCCAGGGCTTTGGTGCCCATTTTTGAACCGAGAATCCATTCAACCTGCTTTCCAGAAGAAGTGGTCTTCAGTTTTATGTTGGTGACTTCACTGCATGTGGTTTTTCTTAGGCAGGAGAAAGTTGGTTTTTTTCTCAAAAGTAAGGAGCAACAAATGACAATATCTGGATTTCAGAAGCGTTCTGGAACGGGTATTAAATACTACGGATACCGCAGTGAGACAGTGCCACGTGGAAATATCTGTGGTGGTGATTCATCGCATGCGTGGGCTTTCTTAAAAACATTACTCTGAGCTCCGAAGGAACGATAAAAACAAATGGCATGGAAATCACACACAGTCTACTTCACTGTTAGAAAATAAAGGGGCTACTTTCAGAACACGCCGTACACAGTAGGTCTAAGTAACTGTGTGGTCTTGCCATTGCTCTTCCTCATTTCTAGGTACAGAGGCAAAACGTACCGGGCCGTGGCCAAAATCGTGCGGACATCGGACCAGGTAGCAGATTTCTGCCGGCGGGTCTGTGCCAAGCTGGAGTGCTGCCCAAATTTGTTCAGTCCCGTGCTGGTTTCGGAGAACTGCCCAGAGAACTGCTCCATTCACACCAAAACCAAGTACAGTAAGTTCAAAGAATGAGAAGAGTATTGGGCTGGGGGCCTAAACTGTGGGATAAGGTAGCTGATGGGTTTCTAAAAAAAAAAAAAAAAACAAAAACCTTTGAGTAATTTTTCATGGGAATTGCTGTGAAAGAATTCTTTAAGATTTGCTGTGGCAGATACTCACGTGTCTCCAGCCCAGTGGAGGGACAGGATGACAAAGAAGAGATGGGAAGGGCTATGCTGTGAGTTTCAGGACATTGGTGGGTTTGGAAATTTATCTGGCGGAAAGGAGAGCTGGATAAAACTGGTTCTTGGTAACGGTTGGTAACCAGCATTGCTTTCTGGGTCCTTAGGCTGAGGAGGTATAGAGAGCACCTTTGCTCCCCTGGACGGTGAGCTCCTTGTCATAGGCTGCTTCCCCCTATCTATACCACCTCCTCGGAGCTCCCTGGACGGGGGGTGTTTGGAGGGTGCAGAAGCCCGCACTCTCCGTGCTCCCGTGGGGTCAGCTGTCCCCCTGCCCTGCCTTTGCTCTGACCACTTCCTGGCAGGATTTTCGGGCTGTCTACCCCACACGTGTGGTGCTCAGCCTTCTCTGGTGGCCTCTCCCAGCTCCCGTCCTCCTGTCCTTCCTCAGCTCTGACCTTTGTCCACATGCACCGTAGCCACTCACAGACACCTCCACCCTGGTTATGTCAAGCTCTGACAGCTCCCTCTGATCCCCGCTTCTGCTCTCGCCACCTCCCCGCCTCGGTTATCTCTGACCTGGGCGTGACTGCGCCGCCGTCACGGTGGCCTGGAGGTTTGCTCTCCCAGCCTGCTTTCCGGCTACCGGCGTATTGACAGGACTCGGGAGTGCAGTCCGCGTGCTGGGAGCCCCAGCTGGTTGAGACTGATCAGCCCGGGTGTCAGAACCAGGAATCGGAACGGACTTGAACCACCGTTTCGAGTGTGAATCTCCTTGTAGTTTTCTCTGTATGGATGCATGGATATGCTAAAAACTCTTTTCCACGCCATTCCTGCTAAGAGTCAGCGCCCTTCTCTGTCAGGTTGGGCCACCTGGCATTCTGCACCCGCGCTCACGCATGGAGAGCCACCGGTGTGTTGGTAGGATGTGGTGACGTCACAGTCTTCTCCAGACAGTGGTGACATCACTGACCTTTCTGGAGAACTTGGTTCCCCCTCAAGTTACCTTTGGTCAGAGGAGAGACCCCCTGGAGCAGGCTGCTCAGTAACAGATGCTCCTGAATTACAAAGGACTTGACTGAGAGCTAAACTCTCCCTTGAATGTTTGCCTTAAAAACGGGAAGAGGTGGGTTACCACAGCTTGAATTCAACACGACCGAAATGACTTCGAGATTTTTCTGGGTCTCGTGTGATAAAACGTCAAAATCCTAAGATCCCTGGGTCAACGTATAGTAAATATTGCTGCAGATTGAACTGATGCTCCAGAGGGAAAGGACAAAACCACGCTGGGGAGGAATTGAGAGCACCAAGGCCAGCAGTCACCCCAGTGTGACCCCAAGACTCTGAAAGTGTGCTGCACTTTTGTTGTATTCGGTAAAACTGCTCTGATTTCCAGCGTCTGGCTTCTAGGAAACCTCCGGTAGACGTGCACTGTGTTTTCTCAGCCCTCAGATCGATTTCTTGGGTGTTCGGGATGATTTGATAGTTATTCTAGCTGTGTTTGAAGGACAAGGCGAGTGTAGGGTCCCCCTACTCCTCTGCCATCTTAACTCCCCTCCTGGCTTCTCAGGAACCAAACTGCACCAGACTTATCTTGCCCGCACGGGGCCCTGGGGTGTGAACAAATGCTTGTCCACCTGTAACTGGTACGTAGGGACCACTGTGAAGCATCGAGTGTCCTGCTCGGTCCCACTGGGCTCATTTCGCATGTGGGGCCGTCGAGCGCCAGGGCCGGGTATCTTGCCCGTGGGAATACAGCAGCGTGGGTGTGCATGGGGGCCACGCTCCGCCACACATCACGTGCTCCATGGAAGCCTAGCAGCTGTGTGCTTGGGCATTTGTCTTGGCTCCTTCCGACCGTAGATAAAGGTTCCCTTTCTGCAGGTGGTTCTGTATGGAATAATGGGGGTTTCGTTGTGGGATGGTCGAGACTTCGGGTAATGAGTCTCGATCAGGATCTTAATTGAAAACTGGATCCTTAGGAGTGGTTTCGATTAATTGAGTATACATTTAATTTATAAAATACAGCAGTCGTTACTGGACGTTGGTAACTCTCTAATGGGTGCTCTGCGTGTTAATAGAGACTTCTATCGAGGTGCTGGCAGGGTTGGTTTCTCCTGAGGCCTCTCTTTGGGCTGCAGACGGCCGTCCCTTCTGTCCTCACACGGCTGTCCCCCTGTGCTCGCCTTCCTGCTGTCTGTCCCTCTTCCTGTAAGCAGGCTGGTCCTATAGGATGAAGGCCCTATGCTTTGGACTTCATTTACCCTTAATCACCTCCTTAAAGACCCCATCTGCAAATACAGTGCCATGCGGGGTGAGCGCTTTAACATTTGAATTTTGAAGACATGTAGTTCTGTCCCTGACACCTTCTAACCATGAGGGCACGGGAGAAATGTTCCCAACAAAAGAACGATCTTTCTCTCTTCTCTTTTCTTTTCTTCCCTCTTCCCCGGTCTTCCTCTGGTCTCTCTACTCTCTCAGTGTCGATGTGCTTCGTGTGTGTGACCTTTAGAAGATGTTCTTGATCCTCTCTCTCCTTGCAGCCTATTACTATGGAAAGAGAAAGAAGATCGTGAAGCCCCCAATCGGGGAAGCCAGCACTGAGAGCGGACACCCGAAGCCAGCCAGACGTAGGAAACGGCGCAAGTCCATCTTTGTGCAGAAGAAGCGGAGGTCTTCCGCCGTGGACTTGGCTGCAGGCTCGGGGGAGGTATGTCCCGCTCAGAGCACCTTCCTGCATGCGTCCGGGACGCGCGGCTGCTCTCGGCCAAGGCCGCAGCCGACGTGTGATGCTGAGTGCTTGGAAACTCCAGGCACCAGGAGCCCTGCAGATTCAGCCCGCCTGGCCATGCGAGCTGGGAGAGGGCGGTGACGGGGACCGTGGTGGGGACCGCAGGATGGGCCTTGGGCCACCCCCCCCGGCGGTTTGCACAGGGCGAGCTGGATTCAGTGCCTTCCCTTCTCCCCAGGAGAGCGAGGAAGAGGATGCGGATGCCGATGCCATGGACGAGGACACTGGGAGTGAGGAAACCAGCTCCGAGCTCCGCGATGACCAGACAGACACCTCTTCGGCTGAGGTCCCCTCCGCGCGGCCCCGGAGGGCCGTCACCCTGAGGAGCAGCTCCGAGCCCGAGCGCCGGCCGCCCGTGGAGAGGCCGCGGCGGGGCCGGAGGGCGCAGGCCGCCTCGTGTGCCAAGGGGGCAGAGCAGGGCGTGGCCACTGGCCAGGACCCAGCAGGGGTAAGGCCCGCGGGGGCCCCCAGCTGGGCTCTGTGGGGCCAGGGCTGTGGGCAGGGTGTTGAAGAAGGAAGCCAGTACGGTGCAGGGCCTTGACTTGGGGCTCTGCATTTAAAATGGCAGAGTAATGGCAGCTCCAGCCTGGTGCCGAGTCTGGGGAGAAGGCCTGGTGGTTTCCCATCTCAGATGGAGTCCAAGGGGCGTGAGAGCTTTTCTTTGGAAGGTTTTCCAGCCACAGAGGATTCTTGTCAGGAGAACAGACAGAATAGGTCCTCAGGGTGCCATTGGACACAAGGCTTCCCCTTCACAGGAGACGGCTGAGTCAGCGTACCAGATCTCCCCCAAACCCCCAGGCCGTAAGTGGTCAGCCGGGAGGTCATGGGCACCGTCATCACCAGGGTAGAGGGGGAAGAACTGGCTGCCTCCTGTGCATTCACATGCCCCGTACCCTCTCTCCGCAGTCAAAGGTGCATCCTCACTAAGCAGGCCCAGGATTTCCTGAACTGGGTTTTCAGCAACTGCTCTCACGGCGCCTTTTTTTCAGCATCTAACGGCACACAAGCCATTGGAGGCAAAATCATAACCCAGCTGAGCTGCTAAGAAAGTCCCTCGAGCCCCAAGTCTCGGTGGCTTGTCCAGGTGCCCAGGGAGAGGCCAGAGGGAGGAGGAAAGTCTGGCTCAGGTCTGCGGGGTTTACCGAGTGTCCCGCCGACCCTGCAGGGATCGAATGACCTCCTGCCTCCCTTCTCCTGTCAGGACCCGAAGCAGGAGGAGGAGGAGAGGCTTGTTCTGGAGAGCAACCCGTTGGAGTGGACGGTGACCGACGTGGTGAGGTTCATCAAGCTGACGGACTGTGCCCCCCTGGCCAAGATATTTCAGGAACAGGTGCGCTGGTCCTTCTGCTGTGTTTCTTGTATTTTCCTTTGATTTTCTGGTTTAGCTGCTTTCTGTGACACGGCTCTGGTAGGGGAATGGGGTACTCCCTCGTGACTGCGGGGGGCTGGGGGATGGAAACCTGGCTCACACGTGGTCCCTGCTGACACCTCTGTGGGGGGCTCTTTGCTGTCCAGCAGAGACGCAAGTCCCAGCCCTGTCTCCCTTGTCAGGGGCTGGGAGCCTGGGGCCGTCTGGCCTTTGTCGCCATCTGGGGAGGGGGGTTTCTGTCTCCCTAGACTACCCTTTTCCCGGTCCTTCCGCTAGGAAGAGCAGGCTTCCCTTGGGTCTCTTTTCACCCATGCCCGGGGGCAGTATTGGGTGGCCAGCTTCTGTAGCAGTAAGTCTTGGACGTAGGAGGCATGCAGATACCCAAGCGTTCAGCACCGTGCCCTCTTGGGCTTCCAGGTCCCTGCTGGTCTGCCTTCTCTTCTCCCCACCTTATGTTTGTTTGATTCATTAGTTCTATACAGCAGGAGAAACAGGGAAGGGATGTGTCCCCATCTTCCCAGAGGCGGAAGCCCTCCATTTGCTGTGTTTCTCTCAATGCCCCTCTCCTCACTGCTTTCGTATTTCGCTCTTTCCTTTGTAACAACGTTAAAAACCTGTGGTATGTTCGGTTCCATGCTAGTGATGGGTAAATGCAAAACAATCAACATAATCTATACTTAAAGGAATTTTGATTTTGTAGATGAGACGATGAGAATTAGCTAAAGCGTAAGACATGCTTTGAGCCCTAAGAAAGGAGGAATTTTTTTACGTTGCCCCTTAAATTAATATGGAAAGAAATCGCCTGTCTGGACCCAAGCCACCTTGAAGGCTGCTCCCCGGCCTCCCATGGAAGGTCCAGGTGAAGCCTGTGACCTGTTCTCCCGCGTTCACGTGAAGGGTTGCTATTTCTCACACTGTCTCACAGCGTGAATCTGTCTTTCAGGACCTCGTACTTAAGAAAGGTACTGTTTACCATGTGATCAGTTAAAGATGTGTCTCTCTGGTCTTTTTTTAGATTATACCAACCGATACTCTAGAGAGAGGGTAATAACTCAGGCATTCAATCAGGAAGGGAAGAAGAAAGGCCTCTGATACCCCTGCACCCAGTGAGTCCCCCAGATCTTCTTCCAGGCCCACGTGTGAAAAGCAAATTAATGTGGTTCCCAGCTCATCCCAGGAGGGGGTGGCTCTTAGCATTCAGAGGTCCCATCTGGTCGGCCCCCAGAGCCTCCAGGAGACCCCAACTCTGTGCACGTGAAGGGGGAATGGCGGCTACAGGGGTTTGCTGTTACCAGCACCCCCTCTCTGAGTGACACACAAAAGCAAATAGGAAAAAGCTGCATCAGACGTAAAGAACTTAGTAATGAGCCTGTCCCTTCATTTAAAACACACGGACAGGGAGAGAATTGTAAGAACCGTGAAGGCTTGTGTGGTTTGGGGCATCTCCATCTTGAAAACACAAATAAAGCAGATTGAACTCCTGCTAGAAGCATTGTCTAGTGTAGCATTTTCCGAAGCGGGCATTTATCAGTAGTGGCCCTGAGAAGACGCTGAGTGCCGATGACCCAGAGCTCAACACGTGGGTCTGTGTGGTCGTGTGTTCATTCCGAGCGCACCGACGAAACGTCTGCTCGTGGGCCTTAACTATATCTAGAAGGCAGATGTGGTAGGCAGCGTTCTAGGTTAGTCTCAAGTTGTGTTTTTGTTTTGTTTCGTTTTAGACTCAAAGGCGCACTTTTGGCTGGAAATGGTTTTTAGCTGGGTTGTGGCCGAATAGGGCACAGCGCTGTCCCGCCCCGACTCCGGGTCAGCGGTACGGAAAGAGGTGAACAGCCCCATGTGCGATTGCTTTCACAGGCTTCTGATGTGAGGCAAGAACGTGAAAACTAAGCTGACCTGGCCAAAAGGCTAAAATGCTACACATGCTGAGTCGTCCTTATTTGCACTTCTAAGCCCAGCTTCTTAGGGTGTGTCACGAAGTTCTGAGCCTTCCCAAGCCAGGGTGTCTAAGACACGAAGCGTGCCTGGCACGTTCCCACTTCCAGAATCAGACGGCAGGCAGGGCCCTGCCTCTCACACTGGTTAAAAACTTGGTCCTACTACGTACCTACTTATTTCTCTTAAGAGACAGAAAAATAGGTAGACTGTAATTGATCATAGTTGTATTCCTATTTCATTTCCAATTTCACGGGAGGCGTTTCCCTAGCCGCAATAAGAGGCTGTTGCCTGCTTTGCTGTCTGAAGCGCTTGGCGTTTGAGTCCTTTCTGTTCAATCAGCTCCCGTAATTACTAATTTTTGCTAATTTGTTCAGTCATCTTTGAGCCCAAGTGCCCCACGGTCCTGATTTGAGGAGGCCTCCGGTGGGTCCGTCTACCCACAGTGTGAGCTTTTCGATGACCTGCGGGGGGGGGGCGGGGGGGCAGCTCTGTTCACAAGTGTGCGAGAAACTCCGGTACGTGGAACAGTAATAGCTCTGTGCACACCTCATGGAGGTGTAAATTCAGGGCTGTCACAATCACCAGCAGCATTTACAGAAAGTATAAACTTCCCATTACCAGAAGGTATGCTTTTAATTCTGAAATGTTAGGCAACAGCTTAAAGCATCTATACTCTGTATTTCTACTGAGAACGTGTACATTATACAGTAAAACTCCACACATCCTCTAACTAAGAAAAACATGAAACTCTTAAATACAATTTGGCCTTAAATAGAATGTGGCCCTTGGTCCTTGCGGTGCCGTGCCTATTAGTATGGGGCCCGGTTTTGCTGCCCCCTCGCTGCTGGCTGAGCCCAGAGAAAGGCCTTTCTGTCTCCCTGCACACTGGAGTCTGTGTAGACAGATTCATTCTCCCGGGTGTTTCTCCCCAGCTCCGCTAGTCTGCACCACACCAGGGCTCCATGCGGCCCCAGAGACCACGAGACCATGTGTACCAGCCCGTAGTCAGACAGGTTCAAGGACATGGACACGTCCATCCCTTCCAGCTTGCCCGCACTTGAAGGTCGCACCACGGAGCACGGAGTCTCCTCCCCTCAACCGTGGCCTCACAACCCAGCCATCTTTACCGTTGGGCGCTGCCCCCTCGCTGCTGGCTGAGCAGAGGGACGGAGGGTCTGGGAAACGCTCTCCCGTTGGGGGGAGGGGGGTGGGGGCTGTGATCAGATAAAGGTCCCGAGGCCGTTTAGAGGTCCTGACCATCATCCCTGTTTGGTTTCATCTGCCCCAAGCTCTCCGTGCAGCTTTCCCTCCGCCGCTCAGGGCCCAGGAGGCTGCCTGCCAGGGCCGGAAACTGCTGTATCGCCCCCGGTTCTGAATGCTTCCAGGCGCCTCGGAGCAGCGGGCTTATAAACAGTGGGCAACAGCTGTAGGAGCGGGCGGTGGCCTAGTCCAAGCAGGGGAGGTTGGGGAAGAGATCGCATGGCAGCAGGCAGACCGGCTTCTCGGGAAGGGGACAGGAGTGGCCGCAGGCTCCGGGGTGTGTGCGGCTAAGCGAGAGCACCTGCCGTGTCCTGTGCAGAGTGGTGAGCGCCGTGGTTTGGGCCGCGCGGTTGCAGGGATGCCCATGGGAGCAGGGCTGTGGGAGGCACAGCGGGTGGTAAAGGTTAGTAGAGTTTGCCACTGGTCAAAAGTGCGTATTTTCCCCAAAGCTGTCCCAGGAAAGAGACCCAAGTTCTCTGTCCAATTTTGTAAAATAATTTGTGGCATCGCTCAGGATGAACACTCGGGCTATACCGGAAAGAGTCCGGGGCCCTTCAAGCTCTGTAAACCCCGCATTCACTCCCGGGGCCTGTCACAGATTCTGCACTCCGTTGGCAGAGGCCCCTCGAGGTTTAGGAATAAACAAAGCGAGGGGCTATCTTGAGGTTTCTATCTGGGGATCGGAGACCGGAGTTCTCCCTCACCACTAGATGTGAGTTTTTATTTTGAGGATAGTTGTAGCTGAATAGAGTTGACGCTTCTCTTCCGTACTTCTTCCCATGTGAGGTCTCCATGAAAGAGTGGGGAGTCTTTGGGAGCTGGGGACAGGCTGGTGGAGGCACTTCCAGAAACCTTCAGAGTGTGCGCCCCAGCTCACATCTCCCTGGATGGGAGCCCGATGGCCCCATCGGTAGCATCTGTGCTATAGACTGAAGCTGCTGTCCCCCATGGTCATGGGGTCATGGGGTCAGGAGCGTGGAGCCCCCGTGAATGGATCGGTGCCCTTGTAGGAGAGCCCACAGACAGCTCCCTGGCCCCCTCCCTGGTGTGAGGACGCAGTGAAGCAGGGCCTCTCCAGTCACCTCCATCTGCCGGCAACTTGATCTTGGACTTGCCAGCCTCCAGAGCCGTGAGACCCAAGTGCCTGTTGTTTACCAGGCCCCCAGCCCGCCGTGTCTGTTACTGTGGCCTGGGGGACTCAGATGGCCCAAGAGTCCCCTCTTCTTTGTCTTCCCCTTCTGTCCACTTGCCCGATTCTCTCGCTTTGCCTTCACTCATCTGTTGACTTTTAGGTTCACCCAGACCAGGTTTTCCCATTTAGTCATTCAACAAACGTTTAATGAGCCCCTATTCTGTGTCTGGCAGGTATTTTTCTAGATGCTGAGGATAGCGCGGGGGAAACAAGCTAGAAAAAAGTCCCTTGCCCTTATTGCTATGCCTTCTCAAAAGTGAGTTAAAACGTGAGGCCGTCCCTGACCCCACCCTCCCCCACCCCCCAGCCTGTTGTGTGCTCGGGCTCGCATCCAGCTCTGTCTGCTAAGCTGTGCGGATTTGGGCCACCTGCATACGTGTGTCTGCTCCCCAGCCGGAAAACATGGGAGCCACGTCTCACTCGTCTTGTATCTCCAGTAGCTACTTTGGGGTCCGACATACGAATAATTTAACAAATATTTTGCAAATAAATGAAAAACAGCTTTAAAGACTTGGCACCTCCTCAGAAACTAAGATTTGATTTACCAAGGGAATCCCCTTCTCCTCCTTCCTGGGCTGTGAGGTGTGGAAAAATGGAGAAACGTAAAAGCATTTCAGAAAGAACAAGTGAGAGATACCAGCTTGCATCTGAGACGTAGATGCACTAATATGTTTTTATGGAGAAATGGTTTGTGCATCCCGAAGAGTGCCCATGAGACCTGTGCCTACGTGGCATACTGATAAGGTGAACACCTGCGAAAGCCACCGTCCAAGGAAGAATCTAGAACATTGCAACACGGCCGTATCTACTGTCCTATCACACTCCACTTCATTTCTACCAGCTGTAAATACTGTTCTGAAATTTGTATTGTTGTGTTCTTGTTTGATTTACTCTCACCTACGTTTTCGAGGTGATGCCAAAGGGTTTCCCAAAGTAGTTTCCCAGCATACATTTCTTCTTGTGCTCTAGGGCTTCCCGTTACCATATACTTCTCTGCCAACACCTAGCGTTGTGTGACTTCTCCACTTCTGTGGACATGAAATTGTATCGTGGGCCTCATTTGCACTTCCCTGATAAGGTCGACATCTTTTCCTAAATTGTTCATCATTTTTGTTTCATTTGTGAAATATCTACTCGTCCCTTTTGCCTAATATTTTTTTTATATAAGTCTTTCCGTTGTTGATCTGTGTAGGGCCTTCTGTATTCCGGGTATCACTGCCATCCTTTGTCCATTCTACATGGAGCATTCAGTTTGTGGTTGGGCTAGCCGCTCCGTGGCACCCAGTACTGGATCCCAGGGGTAGCACCCCAGTTCTGGGTGACCTTATCCCTTAACAGGCTCAGCTTTGCCACCCCCTAATAAATGTTCTCCCCTTCAGTCCCTCATGGCTTCCCCACCCTGCCTCCTAATTCATTCCAATACGTTGTGGCCAATATCAGCTTGCAGATGATCACATGCTATAATGTGACTTCTCTGCCTAACGACCTTTAGCGACTTTCTGGTCACACACCCCAGAAGCTCGTTTCCTAACTGCTGTCTCGGCCCGTCTCTGCTTTCCCTTCAGTGTCTCTGCACTCTCCTCAAATACATGCTCTCATGAACTGCTTGTCTTCCGTGGGTCCATCCTTCCCTCAGTGATTCCTCTCTGTCCTTAGGTCTGAGCTGGGGCATCACCTGATCTCTGAGGTGTTCCTTGACTCCTGTAAGACTGGCTGTGTTCCCGTCCCTTTGAGCCGGTAGCTCTGTGTCCACACTTTATTCTCTCTGTACTGTGTTGGTCTGTTCCTCATAATGGCCTACCTTGACGTTCGTCCTCTCCTGGGAGGGAGTCTGTTTTGTTCAGTGCAGTAGCCACGGAGGCCAGCAGAGCACCTGCCTCTCAGTAGGCGCTCAATAAACGCTTGCTTGTTGAGTAAAGAAATGAGTGACATCCTCCACTTAAATGTGGTGCATGCATATGGCGGCCACCTTCACTGAAATGGCCCGTAGAGCGTTACAGAAGCATTTTAGGGGGCTGGCTTTCAAGTGTAATTGAATCTATATGTCCAAGGATCGCCATCATGACCTAGTATGGATGTTTAGAGCTGCAGTTTTCCCTCCAAAGTTTAATATCAGAAAAACATGGTTCTAGGGGCACCTGGGTGGTTCAGTCGGTTAAGCATCTGCCTTCGGCTCAGGTCATGATCTCAGGGTCCTGGGATCGAGTCCCACGTCGGGCTCCCTGCTCAGCAGGGAGGCTGCTTGTCTCCCTCTCTCTCTGCCCCCTCCCCCCAGCCTCTCTCTCTCTTTCTCTCTAAAATAAATAAATGATTCTTAAAAAAAAAGAAAGAAAGAAAGCTGTGGTTCTAGTTCCAATATGGTCTTCAACTAAATGATCTTAGATAGATCAACTAGCTTTTCTGGCATTAATTTCCATCCAAAAAAAAGTGTCCTATATCCTAAAATAAGTTTCTCTTCTGCTCTTCATTGAACATAATGGTTAAGCCACCTGCACATGGTTTTATAACATCATCCTATTTCCTACTTACAACATATTTTTCTCAGGCCCGTGATACTCACAAGACTTTGTATCCCTAGACCTTTCCCCCTCTGTCAAGTTTGATATGATGTAGGTGGATTTGCCTCTGAAAGCGGGAGTCGGGCTCCCAGGTCCCAGGTCAGGGGGTACCATTATTTGGTTCATGACCTTGAGCAGAACCTGTTTCTCAGCACTTCCAGTTTGCCCTTTACTACAGCCAGCCTTAGAGGTGGCGTCTGAAGAGCAAGTAAAGTAACGTGCAAAAGCACGATAGAAAAAGGAAAAAAAAAAAAAAAAGAGAGAGACAGCATCAAAAATTCATTGACAGCTTCGTTAGTTTATCTGCTACTTTCGGCGTGTATTCAAGACTGATCGGTTTACTTTGGGGTTTGATAAGGTCCAGTTTGAGTCTTGGTCCTCAACCAGTATCGAGAGATCAGGGACTTGAGTCTGGCATTCATGATCTTCCACTTGACCTCTGTGATATATATCACCTCCTAAAACACTGGATTTCAGTAATTCATGCCACTGGCATATAGATTCTATCTAATGGATTGTTTCTAAATGTGTATATGCCTATAGTTTTTACCTTGGGCCTGGACTTGGGCACACCACAGCCTCGCTCACGTAATTGAGACAATTAATTGCGCCCGCATTGATGCCTCTAAGGTTGATGCTTAATTTTTATTGCTGCTGTACGTATTAGGGATTATGAGCACATCGAGGTGCCTTTTGAAACTGATCATACACTACATTATTCTTATTCCTACCAGTAGTCCTCCCAAGGCTAACCTTTATGCCCATTCTGGGTTGTTTTTTGTTTTGTGTGCTTTTGGAATTTTTAAGACCGCTAAATAAACCATTATCTGAAGAAAATAAGCTTCCTACATGTAACTCAGGATGCATGATGTCGGAGGTGCCCGTGTGCAGCGGTAGGACTAGTAAGTCTCCGTGGCTTACAGCAGGCTCACCGCTTCTCCAAATGGCAGAAATTCTAGTTTGCTGGGTGTGGTTTGTGCTCTCCTTCTACCACTAGTCTTTATTGTTACCTTCTCTTACTTCCTATGGAATGTGAAGACTGTCTTGGTGGATAGGAGGGAGGGATTGCACTTATAACCAATCACACAATATCTACATAAATAAACCCAGTTTATTATAGGAAGCAAGCTGGTGAAGAGGCAGAGATGTCCAGTGCAGGGGGATCTTAAAGCTTTGGGGTGGGCCTTGTCCCTGCCTTCTGCAGTGAATGCAGCTTAACAGTCTGATGACTCTGTCATCGCCTGGGCCCGGTGCACGGCTTCAGAGAGCTCACGAGGACAAGACCGGGATGCAGACCGTGCACACCTCATTCTGGGTGGTGCATGTGTGCAAATGGAGATGCGTGCCTTTGTGTGCGTCTGAATACCCGAGTTGTCCTCAGTAGCCAACTGCTCTGGGTAGTGGTACAGCTCTCCAGCATCTTGTCACCCGTTTCAATGGTGAAATGTCAGACTTTGGCAAGGAAGAGAGAGAGCTGCTTCTTTTAGTAGAGCGCTCTTTCCTAGTGCTCATGTGGAGTCACAGCAGAACACGAGAGGGACTGGGGTGGGGGCCGGGGGGCGAGGGGGGCTCTCCCTGCCAGGGGCTGGAAGCTTGGGGAAGAGGAGGTCCTGCAGCAGCTCACCTGTTCCACCCCCTCGACCCCACCGGCCTAGGCATGTGAATTTCACAGTAGCCAGAATTTTCGGAGCAGACTGGTTTTATTAACCAGAAAGATGAGAGAGTTCTCAGGCCAGGTTGGTATGTCTGCCAACGCTCTCCTGAACCGAAGGCCCCTGGCCCCCAGGATGAAGCCTGCCGTGACAGATGCCGTCCCTTGTGCCCGGTGCCTCGGCTCTAACGTGGCTTTGTCTCCTGGCAGGACATTGATGGGCAGGCACTGCTGTTGCTGACTCTCCCCACGGTGCAGGAGTGCATGGAGCTGAAGCTGGGGCCCGCCATCAAGCTGTGCCATCAGATCGAGCGAGTTAAAGTGGCTTTCTATGCCCAGTACGCCAACTGACGCTGCCCTCTCGGGAGTTGACCCAGAGTCGTGTGATGCGGCGTCGTGGGAAGGTTTGGGGACCGACGCTTTATTTCTTGGATGATAAGAGCTGGTACATACACTCTGTAGCAGTGAAAAGCAAGAAGCACGGAGGACCTCCTTCACCCTCCAGCCTGCGTGATAGTACCCCGTTTTCAAGCATACCCAGGGCCACAGCGAGGCTCCTGGAGTGGTGGACGCTGCGGGAAATGGGAGAGCGTCTCTGTACGTCCACGTCTCGCCTTTCTCCCTCCGGAAACCAGGCAGCTCCCTGTGAAGGGCTTTCCTCAGCCACGGTCCACTTTGCTTTGATGTCTTTTCTGAATGTGCCCAGGGAGGACGCAGGCTGGTGGTTTTGCTCTGGTCGTTCCAGACGCTTCTTTCGTGACGACGCCCATGGGGCCGTGGCTGCGTGGCTCAGTTGGATCTTGGTGGCAACTTAGTTCTCAGACACACTTGTTGCAGGATGCGGTTACAAAAGGATGGGCTAGACTTGCATCACCTGTCACAGGTGCCTTTTAGGAAGTGGGGGGCGTGAAGGCAGGCGGCATATTGGAAGGAGACCGTTCTTCCCGAGTGACGGACATCCAGAGCCTGTGGAGCTTTCCGTTTGCAGTCTTTTATAGAACTTCACATATTGCTCACTTTCTCATTTAATTGTGACCAGATCAGGAGTGATTCCTTTAGTCTGTTGGGAAATGCTGAGCTGTGTATTGAAGGAAAAGCTTAACGTCAGAGACGAGGGGGAAGAGGCTTCGGGAAGCTTTTAATAAAGCAGCTGTGTCCCCATAGAAGGATCCCGCAGTGAGTGAGTGGCTTTGAGTGCCACTTGGATCAACCTGGCCCTGGGACGTCCGACGGGAAGCAGGGCAGCCACCTGGCTCGGCCCTGCTCTTCTGCTGGTCCGGCTGACGGCCCCCTGTGATCCTGGATGACCACATCACTCTGGAGTCTCTCGTCCGCCTCCTGCTAAGGGAAGGGTCTCAATCCGCCAACATTGAGACACCGTAGGTGAGAAAGAATCACATCAGCAGTGTTTACTGTTTCCGGCAGCCCACTCTGGCTTGGAGTGTGCCGAAGACATTTCTTGGGCAGTTTTCATTAAATCCGTGAAGTCACTTGTAGAGAGATCTGGGACTCTTGAGCATTGGCTGGGTTTTCTTTTTGTACCAAGCACTTCATCTGCGTATGCCTGTGAGGGACCCAGTGTGCTCACTCCAACCCGAATGGATGGCCCTCCTCCGTTGGGAGGCGTCCAAATGCCTTTCGACGTGCGTGCAAGGAAACCAGACCTTGAGAGAGTCTGGACGTGGACACGGAGGGGAGCACGGCCTTCTGCTGCTCTTGTGCCATAATTACCTTGATCTTTTCTCCTTGATCACTATCCACTGCTGGCGGGGCATCATGGGGTGGGCTGCTGAGCTGTCCTGTTTCTGCATACATTGTAAAGCACGATTATCTGTCAGATTTTGCCAAGTTTGATGACCAACGCTAACCTTCATTCACGGTCTGTCCCTGTTAACAGATGCAAATGGAAAACCGATTTTGCCAGGTGAGTTTTTCCTTTCCACCCTAGCTGACTTCTCCCACCAAGTTTGAAACGTTTGGCAAGTGGGCTTGCCTGGGGACCTGTTCTGGAAGGACCAGCGTCCCACACCGGAAGTGCCCGTGGTGACTCGTGCTTGGCTCGCAGTCGGGGCTTCTGTGTCCCACGCCGAGGGGTCCGCCGCCTCCCGGGTTCCCACTCCTGCCTGCCTTCTCAGCCACATGCTTCTAGCCTTACACACTCAGCCTTGTGGAGTCGATTGGAAAGGGTATCCATTTCAAGATCTTTGGCATTTTCCCTGTGCTGACTCACTCGCGATCCTTCGCTGTGGCCTTTTCAAGCTGAGCTATTCCTGTCGCATCTGAAACCGGAGCGAGGGGGTGTGGTGGCTGCAACGTAATGTTGTACTTTCAGAACGGATGTCCCCTCCTCGTGCCCTTTCAAGGAAAGGCGCGGGGGAGGAGGTGCTACATGGGATGAGGCAGATCTTGCAGGCGTTGCTGGAGCTGGAAGGCCTCCCCTTGGCAGCCCGGGCAAGACACGGCCACCGTTGCTGGGGAAGCTTCCTGCTTCCGTGTGCCCGACACCTCCTTGTCCTCAGTCCCTCTCTGTGCGGCGATCTGTCACTTCACCCACGTCCACGTAATGGTGCGTGGTCAGCAAGACGTGGCCGGGGCCAGAGGCAGAAGGCCCGGCTCCGGGGTAACCATCACGAAGGTCCTGTATGTGTCCCCTCCTGGCCCTCCAAGAGCCAAGAAACCTTTTAGGGCCAAGAAGATGCTTTTGCTGTGAGTGTTGCCACCGTCCTCCTGAACTTGGATTCTTTGGGGGATTCCCACTGGTGGGTGTACTTCCTGTCGGTAGCAAGTTGGCAACGGAATGGTGAGGTGGTGTTCGTTCCTCTGTAGGATTCACCTCACGTCAGCTTCTGTCTTATCAGTAGGGCCAGTTTCCAAGGCACATTTTACCGTGTTGTTACTGTGTCTCTTAAGGCAGGAAATGCTGATTTTACACCTCTACCCACCCACCCCCGCCAGGACCACCACAGCCCCAGCCAAACGCTTCTTGGTTGAAATGCCAGCAAGTGACGCCTCTCCCCCGCTTCTCTGTCCCCAGATGCTTCAGTCTCTGCTCTGTCTCTATGATAATACTTCGGGACCAAAGTCCTGTCCTCTGTGTAGCCGGGTCCTGCGTACACCATGCCGCTCTTTACCTCCTGCAGCTGGTCGAGAAGCGTGTCTTCCTCTCCTGCCCCAGCGGACACTTGGCGTTCTGTACAGTGTGTATAACTTGAGAAGCAGAAATGCTGCCTCGTCTTTAAGGCTGACAGTCACGACGCAATCCCATCTGGAAACTAAGGGAGCTGGTTCGGCCCCTGCCTTCTTGACTGTGTCTGTATTGTGTTGGGAAACTATCCTACCCACAACAATATAAACCTAAAAAGAGCAGGGTACAGCTGGCATTGCAAACGAACTTCTTTGCTTTTCCAAAAAAAAAAAGAAAAGAAAAAAAAAAAAACCAAAAAAGGAAAATGGAAACCAGTTTCCTTCAAGTTGCGTCATCCAGAGAACTCATCCATCGCTTTTAAAATTAGGTTCATTTGATCAAAGTTTGACTCACACACAGTGTTTGGGCTGTGCAGCGATTAGGTTGCTTTACCTTATTTGATCATATTTGAAAGCGTATTTCCTGTGTTTGCTTTGATTGGTTCCTCGGTACATTAAAATGACTCAAACCTTTGACCCTGCCCCCTCTGACCCTTGCTATAATCTCTGGAAAGTTGATTTGGATCAGTCTTTGAAGCTTGGTCTGAGTGTCCTGACTCGTCTCTTAGAATGCTGAGTGTTGTATCAAGCAAGTTCTGAGATTTGCCTTTTATCTTAGACCAGACACCTCTCTAGGAGCTGTTCTCCCTTCGTTTTGCAAGCACTAGGGGTTTTTGTAACTTCTTACGTAGAACACCCATTTATGTTTATTTCTGTATATAGAACTATAAAAACTGTATCGTTGAAATCTTCGTTGTGGTTTGAGCACCATTGTTGCTTTTTGGTTAAGGTGGTGAATCTAGGATCCAAGTATTCGATTCTGTCTTTAGAAAGCTGTGATCACGTGTGCAATTATTTCTGAAGGAAAAGATAGTAAGTGTAGGTCTCTGTAGTTTTTTAAGGAAGCAATCGTTGAAGAGATAGACATACTGCCCGTTGTGTTCTGGTGCAATAACAAATAGCAAGGAGAAGCTCTGTCTTCAACTATTACAATGTAATGATTCTCTTACTCGTTTCCTGTTCTTTTCTGTTCAAGAGTTTTCTGGAAATGGCTTTCGTCCCTTTAACTTGGTTGAATATTTCAGTTGGTTCTCATAGCTTTCATCACTAGAGTTGGCTTACAAGTATCCCAAAACACGAATGCGATAAAATCGAATTGTGCTAGTTTTGACCCCCTGAATTTACCTAAAAATGGTAATTGCTGACACATGGTGCTGCTTTGGGTTTTGGTTAAAAGCATCTCTAGTTCAGGTGGTAAGAAGTAACCCAAACAATTTCCTCAGCGGTGGTCTTTCCATCTTCCTGGTTGGTTTTAAATGCTGAGGATTCCGTACTAGCGAACATGTCAATCTTGTCATGCAGCGAAGCCAGAGTGGTGCTCCCGTGGGCCTGGCGGGTACCCTGAAGAAAAAGTAAAGTTCTGGGACCAGGGTTTGCTGAAAATCAGCTTATGATGGGAAATTGGAGATAATTTTTTTTTAAATGACAGAAGAAAGAAATCATCTCATTTGTTGTTCACGGTGGGAGCTAGCATGATATCCAGAAGCATAAACTGTCCCTAGTCGTGAATGTCAGAAGCCCTTTTACTGTTTTGCATTCCAGTTTGAGTAGTTTGTATTGAGATCTGATTCATATCTTGTGTACATTTCGGTGTGTAAAAGGAAAAATTCGTGTTCTTACTTTTGGAATTTGCAGGACAAAGGGCATGTTGTTGGTTTGCTGGAAGATTGTATTCTGTATATATGTTTTCATGTAAATAAATGAAAATCTATATCAGAGTTATATTTTAATTTTTATTCTAAATGAAAAGAAACCCTTTTTACTTGAAAAAATTGTAAGCCACATTGTTAATAAAGTAAAAATGAGTTCTATGGTGGTGTGTGTGTCTTTCTATGTAAGGTCACTAAATACTATCTTTAGGGTTTGCGTTTTGTTCTGTTTGTCTTTTCCTGCTACGCACTAAAACGTGTGTTTGTAGGGTTTTAATAACTATGGTTCTGAAAGTCCCGTGCGATCTTTCAGGGTTACCCGATAGCTTTGGCACTTTTTTTTTTTTTTTAAGATTTTATTTATTTATTTGACAGAGAGAGGCACAGCGAGAGAGGGAACGCAAGCAGGGGGAGTGGGAGAGGGAGAAGCAGGCTTCCTGCGGAGCAGGGAGCCCGATGCGGGGCTTGATCCCAGGACCCCGAGATCATGACCTGAGCCGAAGGCAGACGCTTAACGACTGAGCCACCCAGGCGCCCCAGCTTTGGCACTTTTTATTCAAGGCACTTGTGTTTATTCTTTTTATTGAAACATTACAGTGTGTCCTACACAATCGCCTCTAGGCTTTCCCATGGTCAGTGATTGGGTTCTTCTGTGATTGCCTGCTGCCTCAGGACGAAGACGACTTTAAGTCCCCCCGTCACTCCACACTCAGCGTTGCTGAGGGGCGGAGCCAAGGCCAAGGGAACGAGCATTCAGGGGCAGGTGGTGGAAGAACATCCCTTTCTTCCGACCCTGGCCCACCTTAATCATCCAACTTCTCTTAAAGTAGATTATGTTTGCCCCTACTGAGAAGCAGGTTCTGTATATAGACATTTTTGTTGTGTTCTGTTTTGAATTATGAAAGAAAGCTTTTTCCATCAGTCCATCTTTACTACCAAAAACAAAGCCTATGACGGTAGACAAAAGTGGGAAGCACATCGTTCATTTTCCCCAAATATACTAGAAACAGAAGTCAAAGATTATAGGGCTGAGTAAATAAGATTATTATATTTCTATTTGTGCTTGAAGATCCTTGATGACAAAGAAATGGAGACTGGATATATAATAAGATAAAGTGGAAGCTGAACACTTTTCCGGACCTCTCAATTGAATGAATTAAAGCCAAAAAAAAGACACAATCCCTTCCATCTCTCTCCGTCTTGCCACCAAGACCCTATTTTTAATGCTTCTGCTCTCTGGTGAGGCTGTTGTCAATTTTCAGGTCACTAGAAACCCCTTCCCCTTTGTTCTGGTATCTGGTGCTGCTACTCTCTTATTTCAAGGCCGTGGGACAGTGCCACGCTTCCTGGAGGTTCAAGGACCACATAAGAAATGCTGTTTACACGGACATGACCTTGAGTGGCTCCCGTGTGAAGACCGGACGTTTCATCAGCGAGGTGAAAATACTACGTCAGGGTACTAGCTGGGCCACAGTGGTTTTCTAGGGAAGAACTTTCTCAGGAGGCTTTGTGATGTCAGCCCACACTGGAGTAGCTCCTCTGTGCTGTTGAGGCTCCTGTTTGGAGGACTCACGCGGACGAAAGCTCTCCTTGCGCTTTTCTGAAGTCCCATCAGCGCTCGATTTGCATGCCCGCCATGCCTTCCCACCCAACCTCACGGTTCGTGTTCTAATAGTCGTTGCCATCTTTTGCTTCAAAGTTGTTGGAATGGCAGACGTGCAACAGTTAGGTGTGCATTGTGGAGAGAGAGTGAGACCGGGGTGGAGACGGACGGCATCGGCTTGGAGAAGGACTCTCGTACTTTTCAAACGGTCCTGGGTTGAAACACTGGTTGTATTGCTTGCCATGTATGTAACACAAAACCTCAAAGGCAGGTGGTAATACATCCATACCCGCTTGACAGGAGGATTAAAGATACTGTGTGGCACTAAGCCAAGAGTCTAGCACAGAGAGGGTGAACCCAATCCCTCGATTTACTGGGCACATCAACTCCTGGGCCCTTGACCGCTCGCTGGAACGTCTGGGCGGCCACAACTATTGTGTCCATCGTGCCCACCGCAGGGGGGAGCCTCAGGTACCCAGGCCTGACCCAGTCACACCCTGGAGAGCTGGGCCCCCTGCTCCACCCCTGAATTCTGAGGAAGAACACACCATGCGGTGCAGGATCTGCACCTTCTTTTCAGAAGGGTGGTGACAGCCCACGGGCAGGGGAGTGAGGGTCCTGAGGGTCCTCGAGCTCCAGCTTGGGTCAGTGCAGGAGGGGGAGAGCGCTAGCAGGAAAATGGGAGTTCTGGGGTGGCCTGTCCAGAGAGACCCCCTTTGTTTTTGTAAGCAGAGGCCAACCCTGTAACACACCACCTTATATTTGCTGTCCTTCCTTCCCTGATTGCATTTCCACTTGCCCTCAGTTCCGTTGCCGTGTGATTTTATCCCACAATCAAATACTAGCATATAAGCTTTGCCTCAGACTGTGTTATCTTTGGAACCCCAAATTAGCCAGTTGGTGCCAGAAGCTTTCCAGAAAACAGAGCTTCCAGATGGGATTGGGGAATCCGACTGCCACCCATCTGAAAGCCACGGGACCCTCTTGCTCTTCAGGAGCAGGTAACCAATCCCAGCAGTATGCTCAGCATCCCTAGAGCCCCTGCGTGCGGCTGACTAGGATGAACGGGAGGCAGGCAAGGCTTCTACCTTGGGCAGGGAGCCGGGACGAGGATCTCCGTGAACGCTGTACGTGGGGGGCTGGCTTGGCAGCGCTGGCCTTGGAAACGGGAAGTGGCAGGCAGCCTTAGGAAAGCAAATTACCAGCTTGGGTGCATCGAAGGCAACTTTCAGAGATATTCTTGTCTAAATCAGCCACAGGGAAGACTCGCTGAAAAATCAGGCCCAGGATCTGATGAGGAGGATGGTGGAGCTGCAGAAGATGTGAAGCGTGAGACCTCGACAGGCTTCCTTCTGCAATGTCAGATGGCGATTTTTCCTCATAGTGACAGAGTGAGCCTCTGAAATGTGGGATGGGGTCACAGAGTACATAAGCCAAGAACTTTCCATAGCCCTGTCTCCTCCTGGCTGGCTGGCCTTCCCCTCGCCTGAGGACAGGATGCAAAATGACCACGTTCTCACGATGCGTATCACGATTTCCCTGCCCCGTCGTTGCTTCCACGATAACGGGACAGGTCTCAGGATGGCCCACACTGGGAATTATCACCCCTGATCCTGGAAGGACAGTCCACAC